CAGTTTCTTACTAAATGTTTTACAATTAGAATAATGAACAACTTGATATTCTTTCCACTTTCAATACTTAATTGTAGGTGGGAACATGGTGGACATGACCTAAATTCAGAAATATCATTTCCTAAATCAGCAATCCACGGTTGGGATTAACTTATGAAGCGCTTAAATTGTGTGAGCATCCAACCCATCTATTGGTAATACCTTTCTGGGTGATGCTGTACTAAAACCTATGTGTTTCCTCATAGTTGCCTATTATTTTAATGACAAAAACATCTTTATTTCCCCAGTTGTAAAAATAAAATGCATTCATAAAAATGCAAATGATATATAAATACAATAAGTAGCAAGAGAAAATCATTTATAAATATCTTCTCTTTACTTACATCGAAAAGACTATAAAAATAAGTAAGACCACCAAGTAAATGTAAACAAGTCATATACACAGGCAGCACTTGATGAGAATTTTAAAAATCTCTCATACATGGGATTATTTCAAAAGACTACTTCTACCTTGCAAAAAGCACACATTTTTATGATACATTTTGCAACTTACTGGCTACTAGTTCTTTCAGGGAAAATGGCTTGCCGATGTATATTTGAGAAGACCATCCTTTTCAGTTGGACAGTAAGAACGAAAATATCCATTAAATATTTCCAATGACTTTACCATATGTAGAACAACTAAGAGATATAGAAATTGTCAGCAAGGAAAGTGATGTGAGGACCCATGGTATTTCTTAAATGTCACATGGAAGAGGCAAGGAATGCAAGCTTAATGGCATATGCTACCTTTGCAGATCATTAATAAGTACAGACATTATGATGGCTTTGACTTCATACAGCAGCAGTTCATCTGTACAGCCACAAGGAAGTAGCCACGGATATTACTAATTTAATTTTATGTAATTAATTAATTTGGATATTGCTAATTGTAAATGCTAGCCTGTCATCAAGAAGGATGCTAAAATCTGGGAGGTTCCAAGAAAAGGCAGAAACACAACAGGAGCACTGAATAAACTGTCAGGCTGAATTCAAGTGAATTGCTGGGCGACCGTGGGTTTCTAAATTCTTTTGCAGCATACATCAACCCACAGGTCAGCGTAAACAAGGCTAAGGTAGGGGCTACGCCTGTTCTATATCGCCATCTAGCGGATAGTGATACCCATGCTCTTTCGGTGCGTTTGCTTCCGAGGTAGACTTGCCCTAGTTTTAGCAAGCGAGCTGATGAATATCATTTGAGACACAGAAGATGAACTAACCTTTGAGTTTTGGTTTCCTTTGGACTTTAAAATGTCTGTTTCGGGGCGCCTGGGTGGCTCAGTCGGTTGAGCGTCCGACTTCGGCTCAGGTCATGACCTCACGGCTCGTGAAAGCTTCGGTTACACAAGACGAATGCATTCTAGACATCTGAACAACACTGTGTCTACAGTTAACACTGTATTGTGCACTTAATTGGTTTAGAGGGTAGATCTCATGTTAAATGTTTTTACCACATTGTTTTGAAAAAAGAAGCATGAGGAAGACCGTGAACAAAAGAAAACAGTAAGAGAGAAAAGAAAGACTAGAATCGAAAATGTCAGAGTGCTTCTCACGTGTATAAGTATTATTCTGTGAACCTTCTGTTACACACACGTGTGTTTGTGGGTACTAGGGTGTAACGTAAAGGGCTTTTCATTCTGTGGGTCGAGTTCAAAGAAGTTCAAAAGCCACTGTTGTACTCTCAGAAAAAAAAAATTCAGACTAAAGCTAAAACTGATATTGTGTTTCGAGGGAATTTGTTTCCTTGTATGTAGACGTGCTTCTCTATCCCTAAACAAGGCAGTTTAAGATCCTTGAGGCAGTACGTGGGGTAACTTAGAGACACATGAATTGTGGACTCAGTCTATGCTTTCTCTTCTATGTAAAAATAAGGTAGGACTGATCTGGGAGCTTCATTATACTGAGCACAGCCTTTGAAGCAGGACAAACCTGGTGTCGAATTCTGATAACAGAAACTTCTAGCTATATGTTAGACTTTGTGAATGTCAGCATCCTGGTCTGAAAATGAAGCTGATAATTCTTCCTTCGTAAAGCTGTTGTGAGAAACTGATGGTAATGTAGACAATGAGTCATCAATTTGCTGATAACATTTGAAATAGTTCTTGTCTTCCTTTATTGCCCTAGATTTCTATATCTTAGAATTGCAAATTTCTCTAAATCAATTTGATTTATTTATTTATTTATTTATTTATTTATTTATTTAT